TCGCTGTCATATAAAGATAGCAAGGTGGTGTTTTTGAGACTAAACTTTGTGAATATAACCTGTATGATTAGTAATTTGTAGGTTTTTGGGAAATGTAATGATTTGCAGTAAGTTTGATGGAAGTTGTAAAAACTTTTCGATTTTAATGCAGAATTGAACCTTTTTGATGATTATTTTATTTAGGATATCCTAAAAGTTGTAAAGTTTATATTTATATGAGATAAAAAATCTATTTTTGGCGGGAAAAAGTTAAAAATTCAGAATTATTACTTTATTGACCTAAAGATTCACTTGAAAGTCATTAAAAGCACGCAAAACCAACGCAATATCTTAATTAATTATAAATTTTGATTTCATACCTTCCGCAATAAGAGAACAAATTATTTTAATTGTTTTTCATTTTCAAATCCTCTTCTTTATGCCTTGCATTTTCTTATTCTTTATTCATAAAGAAAAATTTTGCGCTCATGTGTCGAATGTAATGCAGACTAATTCTCTTATTCTTACTTTTTGCATTGCAGCAAAAAAAATTTCTTTTTCTTTAAATTTTTTTATTTTTATGGATTGAAGATGTCTGAAAAAAAAAGCAAAGACAAGAGTAAGGAATGAAAAAAATATATAAATATGAAATGCATGATAATGTTGATGAAGAAAAGAAGAATGAAAAAAATTATGCTACGGAATTAAGGCAATTATTTTTATGAGTTTCGCTCATGTTTGCAGCAATATTCATGCTGTAGACTTTAAATAAATTATTTATTAAATATATTTAATTTCATTGCATTGATTTTGCCTCTTTCTTGAATGAATGATGCCAACAACATGCTGCTTCATCGATCACTTGCATATTCATTGATAGACAAGACATTCAACATTTTAAGATATGGAGTTGATGATGATGAGAAAATGGCTCCGAAATATGAGATTGGCATCCTATCTCTTCCATATCTAAAATGTTAAATGTGATCATAATTTATGCAACTCACACGATGATTCTTAAATGAAATACATCTGCATTTAGAAATAAACAACATTTTTATATTTTCTTTGAAGAGATTTTTTCATGTTGAAGAAACAAAAATGTCTATAAATAAATTAACATTGAATGCTTGAGTGTCCTTTATGCCTGCCTACATCCTTCTCTTTCTTTTAAAGGCATTTGAAAAATACATAAATTAATGTTAGATAAAATGTTTTATAGATTTTTGAATATACGAAAATTGGGCATTAAAACAGGCTTGAATTTTTTTTGGGTAGTTTGTAGAATGATTAGTAATATTTCGTACAAAGGCGGCATTTGGACTCATTAACGGGTAAAAGTTCAAAGTTGAATTTAATTCTTTCAAAATTTAAATTCAATTTCACAATTTCATACTCGTAAGAATCAACCTACATGAAAAATCCTCAGCAGTCATCAATGATCCTTATGTAAATAACAAAATCAAACAAATTGCTAAATAAAGGATCATGTCTACTTCTTCCAAGAAATTCTTGACATACTTAAAGAAAAATTGTAACATGAAACTTTCCATATGAATATCTAATCTCTAAAAAGTCAAATATTTCAATAAGTTTCATCATATAAAACAAAAAAAAAACAGCCTATGATGTCAAATAAGAGACGTGTGATGTACATTATCTTTTGTTGTCATAACGGACAACTTCTTTAAAAAAAATTTATTTCTTGTTCGATTCTTTTGTTCATTGATTCTATAAATTACGTCTGTTTTCACCAATCTATTAGCACCTCCCAAATCAAAACATGATTTTTGCTCTCGACATTGATTTGCTGTACAAAAAATTCCGAATATTGTTAATGATTGAAATTTTTTTGATTGTTGATAAAAGTTAATTAAATTTGTATTTTTTAATTGAAACATTCGTGTCATTTTATTCTGAACAAGTTATAATAAAACAATGCCGACAGTATTTAATTGCTTTTCGATACTTTCTGGCTTTTATTCTGTTATCAATCGATATACCTTAATGTACCTCGAAGTGAAATAATAATTGAAAATAATAATAATAGTGTGATTAAGGTATTTCTTCGTCTTATACCTTAAATTTACTTTGTTTGAATGCTTGTTTTTGAGGTTGCGTTGGAATAATTGGGAAATTTTCCGTTCAATTCTTCTAACGCTCATAAATTATTTAAAATAATCTCCAAAATTTTGTTAAATTTTACTTCGAATTTTTGAAAATCGTTATAATTTTCATAATTCCAGTTGAGCTCTCTTTTAATCTTTGGTGACTGATTTTGGACACAACTGTTAATTTAAATAGATCTAATCGATAGAATAAACATATAGAGTATTATTCATTGAGAAATAAGAAGAAAAAAACCCACAACCACTGACTATTGTACAATTTCCATCGAATCCAGGTTGTATGCATACAGTTGATAAAGTCGAGTAATTTATCGTAAAATAAATTACATAATTTGTCATAATATATTTCATGTTCAATAATAATTTTTTCAGGGAAATCCGTTTTCGATAATAACATCGACATGTATTTAATAATATAAATAGACTCAGGTATTACTTTTGGAACAACCAATGAAAACAAATCGAAATATCAATAAATGTATTCAATTTCAATACATTACGATGTAAGAAAATGGAATGACGAATTCGATGAATATTTTATCTGTTAAAATAAATTAAAAATGGTCACCGGATGTTAAAACTATATAAGTAAATGTCATTAATATATGTTTTTTTTGTGCCTGAAATCTCCAATAACATTTTGCGTCACCATTAAAAAATTCTTCTTTCCGTGCCTCTTTTTTCCCATTCATTCATATGATAATTGTTTTAGTTTCTACAGCACATCCAGTCCTGAAAACATAGTATATACACAAGGAGTTAGTTTAGCTAATTTCTATTGAAAATTGTTGTATATAAAGTCTTAATAATTCTATATAAGCACATTGAATATCAATGGAGGAAGGAAAATTTTTTTATTATTATTTATTCATAGAGATCAACGAGGGTAGAGTTAGAGATTTAAAAAGATAAAGAGCGGAGAGAAAAAATACGTTCCTAAATTGGGTAAAAATAGAAAATGTTTATGAAATAAAATTGGGTTAGTGTTCAATATTTCCAGTAAATAACAATAATAAGGGTCTGATATTGTCGATGTCGATGAAATCATCAACATGCATACGTTTAGCTGAGAATTATTGAGTTTAACAATGCATAACGAATATTTAATTACACAAGACGAGTTGAACAAGAATTTTTGGCTAGTTAACATTTGATATTTGGAATCGGGGACTATAAATAACTCAGCCAATGAGAATTTGATTTTGTCGTACATTAAATACTGTTTAAATTGGATTTTTACATTAATGATGGCTGATCAGAGGGTTCAAGATTATTAGATTTGAAGTTCACATTAAAATTCAAAGTTTTTACAGCTTGAAACTTATCAAAATCCAGTTAAAAGAGCCGATAAATTTCAATAGTGCCATGCCTAGTGCTCGCTAATTAATATTAAACAGAAGAAATCATTGAAATGAATGGCTGCAAACAACGTAATTTCCTTTAATCTCAAGAAATCTTAACGATTGGCTTGACAATATATTCATAAATAAGTGAATGACTGCATAAAGATTAAATGCGAATTAATAATGTGTTGAATAATGGTAATAATGATTATTAATTCAATAAATAAATACAAAAGATCTCAACGCACGTCTTTCAATGGAAATAACAAGAAAAGAAGATTATTATGAGAATAACAAATAATGAAGCGAATAAAAAAGTAAATTAAACAGAAAAAGAGCTGAGAAATATGAAATCATCAACATATATATATATATAACTGGGAATTAAAAAGGGGAAGAGGAGTGCCCGTAATGTGTGATATTTATATTATTGTTGTCATAATCACAATAATATTGAATGAGAGACAATTTGATTATTAACATGACATAAAGAAATTACCGACTTTGTTCTCATGGAGTTGGAAAATGTGACTTGTCTTCGGATTATGATGAATTTCTTCATTTAGCGCTGTTAAGAGGAGCCAAAAATATGATCTTAAATTGAGATTTTGAAGATTTAAAAAGTCAACTTTAAATTGAAGCTAGTTTCACCCAAATGTTTATTTTTTTTTCGTTGACGTGACAAGGAATAAAAAGAAGTTCGTTGCATGTGCAAAAGAAATGAAATTTCTCAAAGAAGTTATTATTATTTTTTTGCGATTACAGTTCTAATTATAATTAAATATGAGAAATATGATTGATGCAGAAATTTGCATTTAATAAATCACGAAATATCATGGCATTATTTAATTTTCATTTTATGCCTTTTGCACGTTTTCCATTAACAATATATTGTTTATAATATTAATAATGAAAGTATATTTGTGTAAACATTCAATATCCAACTTAAAGTGACGATAAGTTTGTTTCATTCGAATTGAATGAATTGACTTATTAAATGGTCAGTTACTTGTAAGCACAACTTATTTAATTGGATTACGAAATGAATAAATTTCAGTCTGCAATATTTTTTCATGCATTAGATTACATTGTAAGGTGTCGTATAGCTATAAAATTTATAAATGAATATAAAAAATCAATACAATTTCCTCTTTAGTTGATTAAAAGAAATAAAAAGCGAAAAAATTGACACTTTTAAGGCTTCAATGAGTCCTATTGATATCATATTAAATGTCTCAGACACAATGAATGAAGCAAATATCATAATTTAAGCTGTTTATAAACGGCAAACATGCAAGGCGAATATCAAGCAGAAGGAAAGACGTCCCGCAAAGTTTTCATTTAAATAAATTCCACATAAAATGAAATAAGACACTTGAGAATTATACTTATGTCCTCATAATTTTTTCTGCTCCCTGAGAAAGTAAATCGATTTTAATATTCAATTGCAAGTCTTACTGAATAATTCAATCTTAATCTAATTTAACTACGTAATTAATAACGATCAATAATGAAATATTATATTGCGTTTTACTCATAAACTTTGCAGTCACATATCGATGAACAATCAGATAGAGAGGAAGATATGCGTGATTGTGAATCAAGTGATGAAGGTGTCAATGTAAACGGAATGAACGGAGTCATGGATTTTAACAACAGAGGCAGCCCTGAAAGGAATTCAGAAATGACGTAAGTTTTAGCGGTTTTTAAGGAATTTGAATTTATTCTAATGGTTTCTAATAATCAACTAGCGACACGCCATTTCCACCAAATCATCCATTAGGGATGTTAAGCAACTTATCAGCACTAAACATGAGCGTTCCGACTCTCCAATCCTTTCAACAGCACAATGACGTTTTGGAGAAAATAAAAATGCAAGTGCGCGACATGAAGGTCGGATTCATGAACTCAGACTTTTCAGCACTACATCCGTCATTCACAAGCACACTACAGAGCTCTTTAGGCTTTAATACACATCAAGTATCGCAAGCACAAAATAATAATAATAATAATAATCAGAATTCATCTCATGGTAACAATGAGTCATCGAATGGCTTTCCATTTTCATCACCGACAGCAGCAGTTAATAAAGATGGTAAATGGACATTTAAGGAATTTAATTATTTAAGTGATTAATGAATTTATTTCTTCCTCTCGCGTCTCTTTTTTTTTCCTTCTCGTTTTCATTGCAATTTCCGTAACAATTATAGCCTCAAACTCATCAACGTCAAGTGAAACGTCCAATTCGTCACAACAAAACAATGGATGGAGCTTTGAAGAGCAATTTAAGCAAGTGAGACAGGTATGTTGATCAACCATTTATGATTATTTATGAATTATCGATTGTTTTAAGCTGCATTAGACAAATATTTGCGAATATGTTCAGTACAATCACTTGTGGACTTAATTGAGCATCACAAGTTTCATTTTCTGCAACATTCGAGATCTCTCGTCTGTTTTGTAAATATTTAAAAAAAGTATTGACTACGTCAAGCTTCATGGAATTCCCTATTTGAAGAAATACATAAACTCACACTTGTATTTTAACTCTGCAAGTGAGTTGACAAATTCAATTATGATCCCCTGATGTGAACCCTAAATTGCCTCTTTCATATCAAATAACAATTTTTTATTTAATCGAAATTCATTTATTCACAAGACTGAAGGAATGTATAAGGCAAATCGGAATGTATAAGGCAAATCGGAATGTAATAATGTTAATAGAAAGGGTAGGGTCGAAAAAAATTGCATAACTTGCTTTTGATTAACGAGGGATAATACAATTGTAGATTAATTATATTGATTAATTGTTTCGACCATGAGTTGACATGAAATTCAATTATTTATCTGATAGAAATAACCATTTACATACTCAATTATAGTGGCGTAAAAAATTAATTTAATTTAATTTGTTTTCAATCACCTTAGTCTTAATTTTAGCATTGACAAACTTCCTTTTCATATTTTAATCTATTACTGAGAAGTAGTTTATTTTAACAAATAAATGAGCTCAGTTTGATTTACTTAATTAAAGTAGAATTTTGTAAATTTTCAATTTCCGTTATTTTTAAACTGAAACCTTTGAGTAAATTTTTAAATTCACCTTCTTTCAATTCAAAACTTTTTGAATTTAAAAATGCCGGTAAATAAAAAATAAAGTCAATATTAAATATGAGTGCAATTTTCATCATTCATTGCTATTTTAGTAGCGTGATTTAATTAATTTTATAGTAATCAACGCGATACGTTATTGATTTGATAATTTATTCATTATTCATTAGCTTCAAAGTTATGGAACCGTTTATTGTTGTTTTATGCAATAAAATATTAAACATTTCTCAATTAGCCATCGACTTTTCAATGATATTAATTGTCTATTTATTCCCATAATTATAATTATTTTTCATATGCTTATATGCGTATGGTAAAATTGCAGTTAGTTTAGCTTTAAATGTGGCTCTTTCTTGTGTGTGAATTACATGCATTTTTCGCTTCCAATTAATGCATTATGCAATTCTTATGTTGCCATTATAATTGTGGTCGTTTTACCATTTTTTTTTTCTCAAATCATTACCATTAATTATGATTGCATACTATTATAGTGATTAATTTTCGCTAGCTGTTCATGAAATAAATGGAATCAAGATTCAGATAATATTTGAAATTAAATGATAGGTGTTTTGAAATGCTACGTACCCTCATGTCGTCAGTATTTAATAATTACATGCTTGGGAACGACTTTTGTGTGGTTTAAAATTTATTCTTCTTTCTGAATGTTTTCGAACCCTTTGCTAACATTTCATCGTTTAGCGAATGGGTTGACTCTCTTCAGAGGTGCTCTTTTGTTTAAGAATTGTGGACAGTTATCACAAAACTAAGATTTAAACTCATAATTCATACCAAAACTCATCTGATGTCTAACAAAATATTTGAGTGAACATTTCTCTTAAAACATCACATCGGAATCAACTTGACTGACTCAAAAACACGTGTAAGACAACAATACGCGATTTTCATACGAGTAACCACATGCTTCTTTTAATTAATTTAAACTTTTCAGTTTTTTGGTTCTTCTTATTCATCAAAAATGGTTTTTCTATTTCTGATGTCTTTCAGATCATTTTTTGTTGTGCTTCTTTAATTGATTTTACTTGCCATACGTAAAAGTATTATATTATTATTTTTTTTTGTCTGTATCAAGACACTCTGGCTGTAAACGTGGGGTTGAGATCTATAAAAAAAAATAATGAAATTAAATGAGATTTTTTTTTTGTTTTAAATGTCAGATGAAATGAAAATGTCTAGAGTTGAAGAAGTAAAGGAAATTACGTGTCATTGAATATCAATCATACATGTATACATGCGAAGAATTAGATTACAGAAGATTTTCCAACAATTTCCCGTCATTATTAAAAAGAAATAAGAAAAACTTCAACGAAAAAGGCATCTTAGTTGATGAGGAAAAGATGATTATTAATTATGATTATTATTTTTTTCGTTGAAAGTGAGAAATTCCTTTTGGATGTTACAAACTTTAAGATTTTAATTTGACGACTTTTTGAAGAAAATGACTTTTCAAAAGTTATCAATTCACACAACAAAAAAAAAAGTGTTGTACACGAAAACATCGCACGCTTATAATTGAAACATCATCTCAATTAATCAATGTCAACCAATGAGAGACATTGTGTTGTGCTAGATATAAATTCATATGTATCTGTGACTTTTATATTTAAATAATAATGACAAACGGAATGAAAATGATGATGAAAATGACACCCCGGCTAGGATAGATGTGTCATACTCATCTTTTATTCAAAATAGGCATTCAAATGAAAATTAGAGAGAAGAAAAAAAATGTGATCAAAATTTTAAATAGATCTCTAATGTTATTATAATGATAATATGTATGAGTTAAAAACTGTAAAGATCATCATTACAAACCTCTAAAATGTTTGTGGCCTTTTTATTCATACACAGCGCGCATTTTAAATTCGTTTGATTCCTTTTATGTCAATTTCTTAGTGATGAATGAGTTTTGATGGTCACTTTGACTGGATCTTGAATTATTGACGGACGTAACCTGAATTTACTTTTTTCATTCCTTATAAGCTTAATAATGGACATTCAAACCTTACAAATTTATCATTACAAGTTTTATATTTACTTTATGTCCATAGAAATCTCAACTCTATGACTTTAAATGGTTTAAAATGATTTTATAATTTTATTCAGTAAGAAAATATTGAAAGTCAATATCAAGAACTGATAAAATGCGCATCTGCCGTCCACATTTGGATATCTATCGAAACTTTTTCACTTCTAAATGAACAGTTGTCGACTATTTAGTTATTTATTCATACAAATTTTTCTTTATTATAATATATTTCATATATATTAATTTTGTTATTATGATGATATTGAATAGAGAGAAGAAATAAATAGCTGAGGCTGTCTATTCAAAACTTCTTTATATCATCATAATCATCATCAGTATAAAAAAGTACAAAAGAAGATTGTCGACAAATGGTTAAAGAGATAATTGAAATAATACAACGTGTATTTCGATCATAAATAAATAATTAATGTCGTCTTTTTTTGTGAGTGTGACAAAGTCTTGCAATTCATAACTGTGAGTAGATATTTTGTGAATAATTTGAATAGATTGGCTGATGACATGTCTTTCAAAAATAATATTTTTAAAACCAAGCAAAAAATATAAAAATGGACACAGTTAATTTAAACGAATTAAGACGTATTCAAAATAATAACGACTTGTTAATTCAGCTCATTAGGACCATACGTGCAGCCTACAACACTTCATTTGCAAAAATTCCATTTGAATTCGATGATGATACATATTATTCCTCATTTCACAGCGTAAGCAGTGAAGAGAGATCAAAAAGATCAACGGAAATTAGAGTTAAGCATAACTATGTGGTATTTATTATACCCAAGAGAAGTTTTACAACTTTTTGAGTGCCGCAAATAAAAATTCTCTTTTCTGTTGTTTTTCTCTCAACACCGAGTTTGAATCAAAGTGATATTAAATGATGAAAATTCCTGAATTGAATACCACATGCTTATGTTGTGAGCTAGCTATATTAATAAACAGATTAATACTAATTTAATTAGTGTTGTGATCGTAAATTCTTCTGGGTGCATTCCTGCTTATTCTGTGGAGTCTTTCCAGTCATTTGTTTTACCTACCTCGGTTAACATTAAAAAAACTATCGAATAATTTTAGCATGTACTGATATTAAGTACATCAAGACTTAAAGTATAAATTTGAATTTATTTTTTTGTTAACATCTACCTGTTACCATTAATCTCTATCTATATGTCTGTATATAAATACATTCTTATGCTATATTATGTGCACATTCACATTGTTTCGGTTTTATTACATTTTCTTGGAATTTATTTTAATTTTTGCCTTCGTCTAGAACTACTACAACTACGTACATGCTCATAATAATATGAATATATATATAATATATTGATTTTGGGAATCACAATGCACGAACGTAAAACATAAAGCAACATAATTTTGTAATATTCCTTTCAATTCCTCTTTTTATAAAAATATAAATAAAATTTCAGGTAATTTCCTTAGATTTTTTTTTGCTTCTTTCTTTAAGGTAGTCTGTGATTATAAGACAATAATAATCTTTTCTTGCTTGAATTTGTATTAGAATGTCATTAAAATTTTATGCAAAAATACAAATGTATTTTGTGTTAGTTTTTTGATTGATTTGAAATCAGTTTTCGAACATTTTGACAACATCAATTCAAATATTTCACATTTAAAGTTTGAAAATTCTACATTTGAAGTTTTGTAATTTATTTTGCAATCACATTCATCAGTCTGACATTCAAACTTGTTCTATCATGTTCTCTAAAAAATAGTTCTTATCAGAATTTTCTTCTAGAAGGTCCTGAAAGCAAAATTTAAAGATAATGATGAAATTTCGAGACTTGAAAATGACCGGAAAGATTTTTGCTACCCAAATTTCTCATTCGTCTACAAATAGTTCTTATGATGATACTTTAGAAACTCCAGATGCTTCCTTTTCGCGAACATTAGAATTTACAAAAAAATGTTCATCCATAACCATCCTCAACAAACTCATAAAAAAAATTACGACATAACATATGAGACATAATGATCATCATCGTCATCATTTATTTCGAGGCAGATTCAAAGAAATAAAAGTCATGTCATTCGGTAATGATTGACAAAAGCAAATGCTTTGAAATTTTTTTTTGATGATTTTTTTTTCTGTATGCTTATTCACATGT